TGTTCATCAAGTTTTATACATCCATCGATCTCAAAAGTCCCTAGTCCGGCTATCCATGCCAAAGACCTCAGTTTCGGCCTATTTTTCACACTTCTTTTGCGCAAAAATGTTTGTACATGCTAGCACCATAATCTTGAATGAATTTCACAGCATCGGGGTTCAAGTCCGCCACCTTCATAAACAACATCTTTTGCACCTTGGGTTAGGTCTTGATAGCAATGTTTTGCTCCTCAAGCTTAAGATTTTCGAATCTCCATGTACATGTCAAATCTCTCCGCTTTTTGCTCCTCCTTCACATCATTGTGCTTGGCACCCTCCTCCTCTTTCTTTGACATGATGACCTCAAACTTCTCTGTCATCTTTGTCGCCGCCCCTTCCCGCTTCTGCTTCTCCACCTCCCACTTCCTCCCTCAGTTCCTAGGCACATGGGTGGCCAGACCAAGCCCTTCTTTGTTGGATCACCACCTTCATCTTCATTGGCTATGGAGGTCTTGAGGGAATTGGCAATGATGTTGAGCCATTTACTTTGACCATTCACTTTCATCCAACAATGCATAAATATAAAGTTGTATCTATCTTGTGGTACAACATGCACAAGCGTGCAGCTAGCAAATGAAGACGATGACATGGTCAGCAAGTTGCAACATTAAGCAAAAATGACCAACACATAGAGCAACAAGCCATAAACTTATGAGCTCGAGGAGTGACACGCCACTTGGCCACAGGTTTTCCACTTGTTTGTAGGAGTCACAAAACTTGTTGACGATCTATTGAATGATGTAACATCGACGGGCTAGCGATTTTGGATTGCAATCATGAATCACTTCCGTGTGGTATGGACCGTAACACTTTTTCTCATGAAACAAAGTCATGCACGTTGTGCCAAAATGTCACACCCTTTCTGCCTCATGCCTTGAAACAGATCCAAACTAGTGACCAACCACGCCTCACAGAACAATCCCTCTTCTTCATTGGGTTGGCACCCGATGACCAGTGGTTCTTCAGCTCAAAGTCCATCTAGGAGTCATCCACTTGTCCGTCTTTGTAGCCGCCTCTGTCGTGGATGATTTTCATCATCGCCTCGTCGTTTGCTGCCGTCGCGCTTGGTTGAGGCATTTTGGCAAATGGTTACCAGGTATCGACGGACGAAACTTCAGTGGTAATCCGCAACCGGACAAGTGTCGGCAACATCGTGAAAATGTAATTGTTTTGTCGTTGAGATCGACAGTCAACGACGCTGGATGGCCAGAGGTGAAGGAGGACGCGACGATTGTTGTGTGTCAGGCGTACCGTGGTGATGGGCGTAGTAGTAGGGCCGCTTGTACTGGGCGGGTCAGGCCTTCAATTACCCGGCGGCACCAGCCCAGCAATGTGTTGTGGATGACGAGGTCCAGCCTAAACAGCCGCCACAACCTTCTCCGCGTTCTTCTTCTCCTTGGCGCGCCTACCTTGGTGGAGAGCGTACAACACCTTGCAGGTGGACACCTTTGGGTCCAATGGGACGACAAACATCATGATCGGCTCATGCAACGGCGAACGGCGAGGTTTTGGCGGTTGTGATCAGGGCGGAGGCAGCTAGAGGAGCGAGCTTTTGCGTGGGAGTAGTGGCAGGATTGTGAGAATGTGCGAGCTCCAGCTTAGTTTGGGGTGGGTCCGAGGGGTCGGAGTACGACGCGGTGGACGTCCGGACTCCCCCAAATTTGCCTCGACTTTGGTGTTGGTTTGTGGGATTCGGACGCCCTAACGAGTCCGAAAATTTTAGATTAGCCCTGTTGGATGCCTAAAAGTGTCTGGACAGTTCGGTCTGAACATTTGGGGTCGCTTAGGTGACCCGGATTGGAGTTGCCCTGAGCTAAGATTTGTTGCTCGGTTTACTAGCACTAGTCGCAGCCACCGCTGGCAACCTATGGTGGCCGCACGAGCGCCCTGCACCACCCATCATAGTGCCCGCCTCTGTCGCCACCACCACCTTCTTGTCCTCCCACCCGTCTCTGCCCTCCTCTGCCACACCAACTCCGCCGAGCCGCCGATGCCTTCCGCCCGCTGCGGGGCACCGCCCCCTTGCCGGACACCAATTCAGCTTCTCCATCGCGACGCTCTTCGACGAGGGCCTACGTTATATTTGAATAATGAAATTGAAAAGGTATACTTTTGAAATGTTGTGAACTGTGTGAGGTAGAGACGTAAAATTTTGAATTATCTGGGTTTGAAATTTGAGTTAAACTGAGCTGGTATGCAAACATATACTCCCTCCGTATAGTAAAGTTGGTATAAAACAACACTTACTTATTTTTACTAGTAAGTTTGCACGTGCAAAGCACAGTGTAATCTCGAAATAATTCTAAGCCTCCCATGTTGCATCAGGATGTCCTTTACAGTCGGAGAACACATCTCTAATAGTATATTTGTGTCGTAGTGGCGCGTTGCTGCGGGTACCATGTTAAAACCAATGCATAAATAAGTGCCTAAAACCAATGAAAACAAATGTAAGAGTTTTACATATTTAAAATGATAAAACATAAAAGAAGTGTGTGTGACAAAATGATGTATAAAAGAGAAAAAAGAATCCCCACAAAAAGAAGACATGATTAATGAAGTGGCGTTGTTTGAGTTGATAGGTTAATGCAAAAATACATGCATGTGTGGGAAAAAGGACATGCATGACCAATGAGATGGCATAATTTACATTAATGCAAAAGTAACTTATGAAGACATGCATGACTCCTTGATGCCACACGATTTTGATCGGAAGGCTGTAAATAATTGAAGTGATGTGGAAGCACGCATGTATAAAGAAATCTAGTAGTGGGGGCTAGCTATTTAGATATAGAAGATTTGTGTCGTAGTGGTTATATAGCGGACATATGTGCCACCTTCAATTATCTCTGACATTTTCCAAATTGATGAAGTATTAAGAAATGAATTAATATCACTACATTTTGATCCATGAATGTTATTTAATAACAGGTGATACCTAATACCACATGCGTATACTTAATCCCGATCTTGACAAACTCATCATATGAAACCACAAAAGAAAATCCATTCAATCAATTACACAAAACATAGACTTCTGAAGTATTAAATAGCAACAAAAGAAAACTGTAAATTAACTTTGCATCAGCCATGACTTAAGTACGCGCAAATTCCAGTGAAATCAATCATCCGCCCCATTATTGTGTGCACAAGGGATTATACACAAAAGTGAAAGAAATAATGTTTACTTAATCTTTTAGTAAATCTAGTATGATTGGAGAAGCATGAAGATATTTTACTGACCTTGATGCCTAGTAGAAGGAAAGTAATAGAGCACACAGACTTACCAATGGCTAGTTTTCATGATGTTTTTTTTTCATAAATATGCCATCTCTGAATTTATTGTACTGACATCGCTGACTATCTTCTAAAAAGGATAAGACCTGAGCAATGAGCTATCAATTTTCCTTCACCAATATGATGGACCTCTCAAATGGGGCTTGTTGCAACCAGCAAAGATCCTACATCTTGTCACCTTAGGTTCGGAATATTAGCTTCACCATCGCAACAACTTCAAGATTTGCAGTACTATTATCTACGCTACTTTTGTGCCCTTTCATATAAGTAACAACACCTATAAGATCATCAATATGCATCTTTATACTAAGGCAAAATGAAATAATAAGCATCTACATGATAACAGGAAGGTCAGTTTTATACCAGACTGCTTGTGAATGTATTGATTAATCATATTGACTTGGCTTTTTCATATGGATAAAACTATGCAGTTCCCTTCAGCTTGGTGAGAACAAATGCATAGGTAGAAGACGTCTACACATCTGAAATTGCTAATTAGCTGAAAACGCGAGTCTGATCATATTTTGATAACACAACAGAATCGAAAAATACATCAAATCAATATGACACCTGGCGGCTGGTGCGTGGCAAGGGCATGTAACTGGCCAAACTTAACGCAATGACAGATCCAAAGGTCA